TCGCACAAACAAGAAACGTGATTCAAACGCCGCGTATTCGCCAGTTTCGCCTCCAATCACCTTGTGTCTCCTGGTATTCAACAAAATCTCATGTGATTTTTGTCCTCCTGCCTCGAAATTTCTTTCAGTGTTCCAGCCGTAAAATCATTACTCAAATGCAAGTGAACAAAAAAGGACAAAAGTGCCATCCAGTCCCAGAACCCCGTGTGTATCTATCGTCGTAGTAGTAGTCCCCGTAATTCCCAGCCCCATGATCCCACATCCGCTTACCACGCCCCCGGAAGAGGCACATGCGTGTTCTTTGAAGGCTCTGTCCGCCTCCTCTTCATGGCCCTAGGGCTGTCGTCGTGCTCGCCACCAACCGCAGAGGCCGGCATGTCCCATTGGCTGGGGTTCCAGAGCACAGAATGGTCACTGGGCTCTGCCTTGGGCAGCGTTGACGCAGTGGCAGCCGCCCAATCGCCGCCCGCGCTCGTCGCAGAGGCCGGGCCAGGCCAGGCGTCGAGAGGCGACATGTCCCACCCCTGGATGCTGGCGGCCGTGTCGTCGTAGACCAGCTGCGTGGCCAGATCCAGGGGGGCAGCCGTCGTCGCGGCGAGATACTGCGTCGTCGCCGCCATGGCCTTCATGTCCGCGAAGCCTGCCTGGCCCTCAAAGTACGAGGGCCCGTGAGCCAATGCCATCGAGTGCGAGTGCGAGCGCTCATTCGCCGCGCCACCCACCGACGCGCCGCTCACTGTTGGCAGGTAGCTGTTCACAGGGTCAAAGCTCCCGCCCGCATAGGGGCCATGCATGGTCGCCGTCGGCGGTGGTGTGGCCAGGCCTGTTGGAAAGTCAAACACGTTCATGTTTGTCTGGACGGGGGGCACCTGCGCGCCGTTCGCCCAGGCCGAGCTCAGGTTCTCGTTCATGATGCCCGCGAGGTGCTGGCTCACACTGGGCGTCGGCGACATGACGGCGTCCCTGGGCACGGCGCTGGCGGAGGACGCGGACGAGGATGAGGGGTAGACGAGCGCCTTCTGTTGGTGATATCGCGACATGGGGTCGTTGATGGTGAGCCAGCGCCACGAGGTGCCCGACGGCTTGAACACCGGGCTGTACTTGTACCACTGGTTCGTGGTGTTGAAGCGCCAGAAGATGATGGCCTGCCTCTTCCACTGCGTCGAGTCGGGCGCCCGCGACCACAGCTCCTGGTACATGGCCACCTTGCAGATCAGGTCGCTGCCCGTTGGCTCGCGGCGGCTCCACGACGCGGCATCGCCCTCGTCCTCGGATCTCTTCCGCTTGCTGCCGGCCCTGTCCAGATCGTGCTGCTTCTTGGCCTCGTGGCGCTTCTCCCGCTTCCGCTGGTGCTCCACGTCAGGATATTGCACGGCCGTGCTCAGGATGCTGGCCCACTCGACCGCAGGGAAGGGCACGTGGATGTCCTGCCGGGGGCGCATGTGGCAATTGCAGTCGTTCATCTTGGAGTCGCTGCAGCCCCGGTGGTGGATGCCGCTCTCGTTCGTGTAGACGCCGCGCTTGGAGTCGTCGCCGTACAGCTCATCCGGTCGCGTCAATCGGGTGACGCACTTCCAGTGGTGGTGCTGCAGCTCCGGCTGCGTGATGGCCACCTCAACAAAGCCCGTGAGCTCGGATCCCGAG